TTATTTTCGTTTCACGTCCCGTCTAGACGAGATTCAAATCGTCGTTCTTATGGATTTATTTGAGGTTTACTAATGGTTTTCCTATATCCATCAAAATTTTCAATATCGAATCGCTTTCATTCATGTCCATTCTACATTATTCTAAGAATAGTCTCAAAACATTCATCACCTCTCAAAGATCTATACATGAATTGACATACTTCAAAGTGAACGAATTAGGATTACTTAATAGATAACGCACTAGATTTAGAAACCAATCATTTACAATTTATTAAAATGACTAAACATTTACTCATAATAAAATAATTAATTTATTATTTAGCAATAAATTAATTATGTTATTATGATATACAAGATTAGATTGGAAAGTTTCTAGGTCTATTCTATTTTATTCCAAGAAAATGGCTAAGATTAGTCTCAAGCATTTATCACCTCACGAACAGTTAAATATTGACAGGCTTCAAAAACAATAGAATTAGAATGAATTACTTGACACATTCACACTAGATTTTGAAACCAATAGTTTCTTACTGCATAAAGTTAATGAAAAAATACATTTAATAAACAGAATAGAAGAAAGTTTCTAGAACAAAAAAAATGGAAAAAAAAATCAATTTCTGTTTAATTTTGGAAAATTAATGCATTAAAACATAAATTACTAAAAACTTATAAAATTGTATTCATCTCCTTCTTTATGTTGTATATGCGATGTTAACATCATATGAAACAATTTGTAATGGTTAAAACCATTACAAATTCGCAGAAGCACCAGATTCGTCTTAATCATAAGCAGCAATAATTCAGAAATCGTTAGAAAAGTCCATGAAATTAATATGAACACATATAACCATTGATAATTGTATTTTACTTGGCAATGGTGCCAAAATCAAACATCTAAATAAATTAAAAATTACCAATTTTCAGAAATGTTTTGATAGGTTTAATTCTTTGTTTTCGTCGTAATATCCGGATGAAAAAGCAAGAAAGAACTTCGAGATTCTGATTAATTGCTTGGAAAATTATGTATAGTTATTTGATCGATGGGAAGATAAAAACGAAGCCAAAAATGAATCATTTGGCAAAGAAATTGTTCCATTAGAATTATGCATTATAGCACAAATTGGCAATTGCCATGAAAAATAGAATTAATCAATATTCAAAATAATTGAAAACAATGATAATTCACTAGATTTTGGCATTTCCTGTTCCAAAAACTGACAAAATTGTTTGAAAAGATTGAAATCAGCGCAGCTGCAAATAGATTATTTTAGAGTTTGTAAAATACTCATCGTTCACTCAAGAAAACAAATGTTAATGATTACGGCACTATTTCTGCCACCTTTTTGGTCAGAAATTCGAACTCATCGAATCTTTGTTCAAAGATTATAATTTTCAAAATATATTTTTGATTCACACATGAATCATAATTTTTATCATTTTCATTCATTTTAGAAATCAATCTATGATATAATAATTTGATTATTTCTTAATAAAAATGTGGTAAGATTTTAATTAATTGCTTCTATTACTCACATCACCTAAAGATTGCATAACTTTAATTACAAATTACCAACAGTTTGCTATTTTTTTCAACATAATATATCAATAAATAATGATTATATATATTTTCCAACAAAAAACAAACTAAAACTATTTGTAATCTGTGTAATCATTCGAATATACTATTTACTTTTACAACTTTCGTGCAACATTGACTGTTAAAGGCGGCGATTTCTTTTTCGGAACTTATCAGTTCGGCCACTTGACGATCGTCGATAGATAAATATCCTTTCTAAATAATCATCTCTTTATCAATTGACGTAGTCTGTACGCGTATGTAAATACAAACTCCTTTCACCTGAAACGCGGATATTATTAGAACGTTCAAGCATATTTTGCGTGGGCGAGTAAAAATAAAACAATCTTCGAATGACATCGTTGTTTGTTCAAAAAAAAATAAAGAAAACGATGCATACACACGCATCTTATCTCTTATCTCGAAGGTCTTTCCGCTCGGGAATGCGAACAATTCCTTCGCTACAGCTCAATTTCATTACGAGAACCGCAACCAACAACAGGATGCACAGTCAACTTAATCTTTTCAACAAAATTATTCAGCCAGTTGGATTTATATACAGTCGATTCGGGGACACATCTAGTACGTTTTGTCCCGATTGAGCAGCTGGCCCAATTAACCGAAGTTCCACAAACAATTACAGGATTAGTGTTTTTTAATATTTTATTGAATAAATTGCATAAAACAAGTCACAAATCTATACGTATCTACTACATAATAGGAAATAATATACATTCTGGAAAAATAAATATGTATCAGGCGTCCGTCCATGGATGCGGCTCAAGCACAGCATTCATGCGCATACACAATATTTCCTTAGTTTTGTTTCTGTTCTTTAGGATTTGTCCCTAATAAGCGGAATCGACTGTATTTATAAACATGAATAATTGATTGAATATTGTCCCGAAAAAGCGAAAATTTGTGTTATTTCCTTAATTTCTTTCCGTTCTTTAGGATCTGTGCCTAACAAGCGGCTGTCCCGATAAACCAGTGTCCCAATTAAGCGGAATCGACTGTATTTATAAACAAACATGAATAATTGATAAGTGAATCATAGTAAATTCAATTCAAATTATTACAAACTTTCATTGTTATTGATCTGATTTGCACAAAGAATATCCGCGGATTACGAAAATGTCGAGTTTGTGTAATGTTTATTTTTATAATAAAGGGCGTAAATAATTGCATCATGAAACTAGGTCCGACCATGACCGTTGTTATAATCCTGCCGGAGCGCAATAAGGTCACCCTTTTTATTGCATCCTCGATGGGAATATAAATTTCAGCGCGATTTACGTGCGAACCATTCGCTATAAAAAGCGGTGGCATTAAAACTGAAACAATCATGCAGGCAAACCCAGTTTTGATTAAAGTTTGAAATGAAAATCGTAAAATATTTTTTTATTGTTATTATTGCAGCTCAGTTTTCAGTAAAAGAAAGCAGTATTTTTATTTTTTTGCAAGGAGCAGTGGACGACTTCGAGAAACCACCGCGCATCCTTGAACTTAACTCCATTATTACGAAACTTCGCAATTATGTAAAGCGCCATTAACGGAACAAAAAAAGAAAACAAAAGCGGGAAATGCAGCGAGGAACTAGAAAACGCTTTCAATGCAAACGCAATGTTCTTTTTTATTTCAATACGCCATTTCTTCGCCGCAGTGCATAATTACTTAGTGCTGAATGTTGTTTTTTTTCTTCTTCGTTCGAATGTTTCATTACAAATAAACATTTGAATTCAGAGTTATTATTATTTTGTTTCAGATTTTGTGTTTATTATTCTATTTCAGTTTAATATTTTATCTATTTCCATTAAATCACTGCAATATTCATCTCTGATTCACAAATCCACCGCAATCATTTTTATTTATTTCATGTGAATTATTTTGGATATGAATTGTAGACCAACGCGGTTAAAACTAAACAAACCAAAATATGTACTTTTCAGTTTTATTTCGGATCCAGGTCGAACTATTTATTTGATTTAATTGCGTTACACAAATTAGCATTTACAACTTTAGTTAACTCATTTCACTATTACATTTTCTTCACAATTCTATAATTGCATTAACTTCAATTAGAACATTCCACAATAAAAAATATAATTAATTATAGTTAATTGCGTAATTTTCAAGGTAATCACAAACAAAAACTATTGAATGTATACTTAGTAAGAACTGTATACATTCAGTCTTCAACTACCATATTTAGATTACTAAGTCATACATTTTCTTTACAATTATGTTTAATTAATGTTTATATAGCTTTCATTGGAAACTACAATTAGAATTAATTTACCATTGTTTTAACTTTAATCATAACTATAAATAATACTTAATTAGATTAACTCTCAATTAAATGTATGTTCAGTCATCAAAAACACATATTTCATGAAGACCATCAATTTTTTTTAAATAGAATTTTTGTTAATAATCACATTCAATTAAGTTTGCAACAATGCTATTGGTTATCTGCGATTCTCTGTATGAAGACAATTTAGTCCTATTATTTAAACATTAATTAGCACAATTCGTTTCATAAATTGCGTAAGTGCTGTTCAAGGAGAGACCATTAAATAATTTAGAAAATACTTTGCAAATATTTGATATGCTGTAGATCAGCTTTGATCCAATGATACTATAGATCAGCGTTTTTTAAATGTATTAATTGACTATTTCCTGTGAGAAATCTCCATTGTTTTAACAATAATTAACACATTTTTAAAATTTCAAATATTTGATCAATAAAAACTCAACATACTGCGTAAATATATTAATTAACGATTTGCTTTCATCGATTATCGTTTTAACTTTAATTAACACATTCAGTTTCCCAAATTGCCAATATTTGATCTAAGATACTTTGGAAATATATAGATTTTGGTTTAAGAAGAAATTTACTTAACTCTTTTTTACTTATTATATTTTTCTAGAAAATGTATAGAAAAGAATCCATTTAATTTTGTTGATAACTCAAAGGATGAACTGATTCAACATTAGATGATGAAGACAAGACAATGTTGATTTAGTTGACTGATTTAGTTGTTATGCCTAAAACTTTAATTTCTGGCCCCTTAGAGTTAATGATTAAAATGATTTTGTATAAAATAAATACACTCATCAAAATCAAAAGTTTGGTATTTCCAATACTAAAATTGGGTCACGTTTTCAAAGTTGAGAAACACTGATTCGAACGAATGATAATTTTATCGATCGCAATAAAATGCTATTAAAGCAAAAGACAAATAAAGAAATGCGTTATTTCCATTGGGAATATAAATATTTAGGCGGTCGTGTGTCGTCGTGCATAGGCGATAGGCGCGCATTTTATGTGCATGATGATAAATATACATATATAAAAAAAGGAAGTGAACTAGCGGAGAAGAGTAACGACGTGGGGGGCAACGGGCAAAAATAAACTCACCTTTACGAGTTCCTTGAGGCGTTCCCTGGTGTAAACGCTGCCGATTTCCTCGCCGAGCAGAACGTCCAGGATCTTGGAAATGGGATAAGAAAGTGGAAAGGTCACGGCCATCACCAGCTTGGTGATGACGATGGTCTTGGCGCCGATGGCCAGGCCGTGTCTCGAACAGATCGCCTGCGGCGTGATCTCGCCGAACATGACGATGGCCAGTGTCGAACTGATGACGGCAATAACGCCCGAAGTCAGATCGTCCAGGAGGATGGTGAACGTCGAGTTCACTAGCACGTTACCGAGGAGGATGCTGCAGAGTAGATAGTTGCCGTGATTGCGAACGGGCTGGATCTTCTTCGCGTACTGCTGCTCCTTGTTTGTGCCGGTGTTGCACAGGATCTTCAACTCTGTCCGATCGAGGGACATGAGACCCAAGTTCAGACCCGAGAATAGGGCCGAAAAGCACAAGCACACACAGATGATCGTGATGGCGGCCCAGATGGGTACCATCTTCTCGAAACTTTTCACACGTATCCATGGCTCACTGCCCTGATGCACAAACGGTCTGCTATCCGTCACTCTCTCCACCAACTTCGCGGTTCCTTCCCGCACACAAATGTAGAATGGACCGTCCTGCTCCGCAGGCGGGAGCCGCATCACCACCTGCACCGAGTCCTGCTGAAGAGACCCGTTCACTATCTGCAAGGAACATTGTTATTATGTAACAGCCAATAACTGTATATCGGGATTAACTTACTTCGAATACTCCGGTGGCCGGGATCTGACAGGAATCACCGTAGTTTCCCTTGTACTGTGTAAATGTGATCAAGGTGTGCTCGGAAAAACCACGGCCGAACAGTCGCAGCGTGTACGTACTTCCAGCCAGCAGGTAAGGCACACCATATTCGTCGAGATGCGGCTCCTTCGGTGCAACGTCAACTCTCACACCGTGGACCTTCACCTTACTCAGCAAATTCTCCATTTGTTCTACATCTCTAGAACTAAAAACAAGCATTTCATATTAGTACCAATTAGTTAACATTATAATTATACAAGTCTATTTTCTCTTTCAGAAGTCTGTTTTGTACGAATATGCAAGTTGAAGATTAAGAAGAAATAACACAAATCATTGGTGATGTCATATTAACGAGCTTAATTTATTTATATCTCAGAATAAAGTATGAATAATGTATTTACGATTTGTATCACTTACACTTATTTGTGTACAATCTTTAACAACTTCATTTGAGTATAATTTATGAGATATCAAATATACTAATAAAGTTGAACAGTAAAATTGTTTTCTTTAATTGACAATAACTGAATCTAAATCAGATGTTGCAAGGATAAACTATACCATATATCAGTTCAAAGTAATAAACCTATATAAATAATAACTTTAAAATAACATATCTTAAAAAAAAGTTCTAAAGTTCTTGAACAATAAGATATAAAAGGTATAATGAGGAATTCAGTCAAGTAAACGCTTTTATCCTATTCATTTCATTTTTATTAACTTTTGAAATTCGCTTATACAACATATAAATTATAATTATTATTACAAATCAAAAGTAGCTTTCAAATATTATATAACTTATTTTGGAAGGAATCTCGTAAAAGTAAACACATTTTAGGTTTTACTTTAATTATCATAATCAATTATATAAATTATAATCCATAACGTTAAGATGTTATACTTCTATAGAAATATAAAGAAGTAAATTGAATTATTGAAATTTCTTAATTTAATTCGAATAACATGAGTGAAAACACAGGTTTAATCAACATTTGCAGATTGCGTTTGTCAATTGGAACATAGAAAAACTAAAAATAGATTGAAACCGAAAGGAGTGCAGTTGAAAGGTCCGCACATCACATCACACAGAGTCTGAATTGAATTAATAAACGCTTTCCATTTACCATTCACGCAGAACGCTGACCGACGACAAGAGTCGGCCGCAAACTGATTCATCCGATTTGCATACGAACGCAATTGCGTTCGATCCTAATCGAATCCAATAAAACGCACCTGTTGAACCCGTCTAATTAACATTCCGGACTGGTGGAAGGATTAAGGCGACAGAGATTCGCAACACGGTCCGTGTTGCAAACCGCGTATGGACCACAGCCAAATGCAGATCAAAAGTATCGCACGTATTTTTAGTAAATCCAATTTCGAAACGGCTATAATAATATGCAACTGCGATTTATAATTGCAAACAAGCGTCTGCAACGAATTTATATCATTCTATGATGATGATGATGAAGACATACTGCATCATAATCACAAGAAACCGAACATCAATTTATTTAAAACTGTTTCCGATCATCGTCATCATCATCTTCAGATCATGTTCATTAATAACCTGTATCATAATCAGAAGATATATTCCATCATCATTTAATGTATTTAAGTCTTCTGCAACTGATTTAGCATCATCCTATAATGATGATGTTGACATACTACGTCATAATCACAACATCAATTAATTTAAGACGTCTGCACCGGATTTTGATCATCATCATGTTCAGATGATGATAATTTCAACCTGCATCATAATCACATCAACAATTAAAGTTTTTAAGCCGTCTGCAACGGATTTAACATCAACCTATAATGATGATGTTGACATACTACGTCATAATCACAACAGCAATTAATTTAAGACGTCTGTAACGGATTTTGATCATCATCTTCAGATGATGACAATCTGCATTATAATCACAAGATATATCATATCATCAATTAATCGATCATCATTTACAGATAATAATCACAAAATGTATTATCAATTAATAAATTAATTGATTTAAGTCACCTACAACAAATGATTATGATAATTAGTTAAAAATCATAAGAAATATATCATCATCATATCATATTGAAGATTTGTCTTAAAATTACAAGAACTATCCCATCATAAAGTTGTCAGCAAACGCCTTTGGATCATCCAGTGATGATGACGAGTCGACCTGCGTCATAATCACAAGAAATATCCCATCGTCGATTAATAAATTAATGTAATTAAGTAGCCTTGAGATGGGCCGAATTAAATTATTAAAAATAAACAAGATAATTCGAGCTTTTCTGCGTTATTTTTTTGTATATTATTATTATTGCTATTCTCTCTTTGTTCTAGCAGGAAATAATAGGCGATGCACGCGCTCTTGTGGATGGGAATTCTTTTCGGTGATTCACGTCGGCGTTTCGCAACAAATACAAGCTAGAAACTTCTATAATTAGGGATTATGCATTCACGAAAAGACCGGTTTCCTTGCGAAAAGTTACCGCAGATCTATATATGCGAAAGGAAATTGCAACAGTTAATAATACAAATAATTAGAGAAAATGAGTTTGGAGTAACGCATGGAGAATGGAGTTGCGACGAGGTGAGCGACCTTTCCAGCTCATTAAAAAATCACGTTATATATTGATCAAAGCTTTTCTCCGAGGAAAAAAAGAAATAAAAAGAAAAAGGCGCATGCATTATTCAGCGGTTTCTCGCTAGACGATAGATAAACACGGCTAATTGCGTGCATTAAAACGCGCTAATTAATATTGGGAGCGAATTATACCGAGCCCATAATTCTCATATTTATCCGGATTAATGCTAATCCTCCGGCTAATCCAATTCATTTAGTGTCGAACAAAGTAAGCGCGTCCAAACTTTATCACGTAATTTCCAACAATTATTGCTGTGCAAATACTCTATTATTATACACTTTATATGCATATACGTTTATCGCAAGTTTACAATTTTCACAAATCCTACACACGCAGCTTTCTAGTGACAAAACGGAACGTAATTCCGCCATTATATACGTTTTAATTCATTCACGGTGAAGCAATCCATTCAATTTCGGTTTGTTATTTTCCTTTTGTTTTGTTTGTTGACGTTCGCATATGATTCATTAATTTTGTATCATGTGGATTGTATATCCGATACAAGACTAGCCAAACAAAACATAAAATTTACATAAGTCCGCGTTCGGTGTTTCTCTAGAAAGTTTTCAAACTCGTTACATCATCGCCAAACCAATTACGAATGCGACGACAAAACCGATTTCGAGTGTTCTCAAAACATATACGTGAATTGCATGTTTTTTTTTAAACACATTTGATCAAAAAAATAATCCTAACTCCTGGTTTAGCATTAATTCAGACTTAAACTCTGAGCCACCCTGCACACAGAGTTAAATGGGCTATAATCCCGTGGCGCTTTCCTTTTGGGGCGGCATTGTTGCTTCCTCTCCCGTTTTCTTATGAAGAAGGGCGCATTATTATTAGTATCCCACGAGCGCAATTTCTGTAATTTCTTTTATATTGCAATTTAAGCTGTTTGTACACGAATCTCTTGATTCCAGATAAAACAAAAATCCAATAAATAACAATTAAATTATTGTAGTTTTTAAGGTAAAATCTGGAAAATGACTAGAATGACAGAAGACTACACCTGTCCCCCGATTTACACGGTAGATAGATTCCGGAGAAAAACGTGTAAATCAAAATTGTAACTTTTTAATGTAAAACCGTGTAAATCGAAAAACGTGCAAAATCGCATAGGATATTTTCAACAATTATTTTTATTTTTTTTAAAACCGTGTAAAAGCGAAAACGCGTAAAGAAAGTACCGTGTAAAACGATTTATTTTTTAAATAGTGTAAAAAAGGAAATGTGTAACGAAAGTACCGTATAACACTCGTTTTACACATATAGGTTTACTTATCATTGCTTCCTCAAAATTTTAAAGATTTAAAACGGCGAAAGGTTATTGCAAATTGAAGATACATCTGATTTATGGTTCCGACTGTAAATATTTCATACTAGTTTTTGGATTGTGTCCAACGCTAGTTTTGGAGTGAGTCCAAGTTTTGGAATGATATTCCAGTGATATGGAAATCCAAGGCTTTGCACAATATTTCTGACTTATTACACTAAACTAAACTGTTCATTTTCTTTCTGTTTGTTTGATTTGTAAATCATACCATATTTACCTGTAATTAATCTTTTATTGAAAGAAGTTAGAACTAACTGTACAAAATTAGTTACTTCTATATCGAATTATATGATTCATGACTTATTTATATTACTAACATATTGTCAACGTAAATTGTACATATTACGGACAACATTTGTATTTTCGTATGACGTACAGTTAATTGCTTTTATTGCAATTCTGTGAATGAAATTCTGTAATGTGGGAATTTCTATAATGTAATTTCTGCTAAAAAAAAATGAAAATTTGCACACCGATTTCGTTTCATACGTCATAGCACAACTATACTTTCATTTCGACCATTTACTAAATAGTACAAATAATAATTTATCACATCTTTTGTACTGAAAATTACAAGAATTCTTAAATTTTCAATACAATTTGCATTTTTTTATTGTCATTTAATCAAAACGTCACCTATTAATAATTTTGCGCCTATAAATTTATTGTATAAAAATAAAATTTTCAAGTAATTGACCAAAATATTCAAGTAATTGAATTTTCATAAGTAAATTTACTATTAAAAAAATAATACTAATTATTGACTATTACCATTTTTGTCAAGATTTTTAGAAAGTTACTTTACAAACTGGTTTATATTACCACGTGGTTGAAAATATTGCGTGTTGTGTATTTCTAAACAATTGAAATGATTCAAATTAATGTACATAATTAACTTTTATTATTGAAATTGAATTACGAACAAAATAATAAAACATAATTTCTACAATATGTTTCACTTTCTATTAAAAATGCGATTCTATTAGATTGAAACTTCTTTTAAAGTCGTAATATGAGGTCAAAATATTGTCATAATAAAGGAGGTGTCCCAATATTAACACAAGATTTGAATTAAATAGAAAACACAGTTTTTAGTCTTCAGATTGTGATTTGGTGATTGTGATAAAAACTGTGTTTTCTATTTAATTCAAATCTTGCGTTAATTTTGGGACACCCTTTATAATAATTACTATTTATATTAATTTCTTGTTGTATATAGTTCATAGATTTTTTAAAAGTAAATTGTAGAATCGTTTTAAGTTTCTTCAAGCATGTATATTGTGTAGTGAGTCCACAATTTCCATTCTACCATTTAGTTTTAGTTTAATAGATAGGCAAACATTAATTAACCAATAGAAGTCGTATTTATTAGGTCTTTTTAAAAGATACAACTAATTTGATTAATTAGAAGATATCCGCTTTTTAAATGGGTCATAGTAAAATTGAATGTAAGCTACTTGATTAAAACAGATGATGACCATTCACGAAAGGAGAAGCCTCGCGATTTAAACCGGCGCACAGCGTAACGCGAAGTGTGCTATTGTTTATAAACATCAACCGGTGTGCTTAGTTACGTTAGGACGCGTCGTTCTTGAAGGCGAAAGTATATTTTCCATGAATGCGGTCTACGGAAGGGCACAGTTTTCACTTTTACTGAGAGACCAGAAGTTTATCGATTGATAGAAAAGATGTAAGTAAACTCACTGCTTTTGCACTGGGCCTAGGTCAGTGCTGTTCAGGAGGATGGCCACTGTGGTTCCCTGATGGTACCATCCCGCCGGGCTGATGATCTCGTCATCGTTCACAGCCGATCGAGGTAAACAGAAGTACACTTCGCCTTCAACACTAAGAGGTATTACCATCGCGAACCTCGCGGAATTGTGTTCGACCACAATCTCCGTGAGGTTGGTCTGGATCAGACGGTCCTTGCTCACGGCGCACTCCGAGCCCTTGAGCTCCTTCGCATCCGTCACGAGGATATTGTTGCCGATGCCCTGATAGAGACCTCTTCCTGCCACCTCGAACCACACTTTCCTCGAGCCTTCGAGGTTGTCTTCTTCGGCCGCGCCAGTTCTGATGAGGCGGAGGGAATCGAAGACGGCCTGGTCGTGGGCATGGACTGTTCTTGCGCTTTGCAGCAGTACCGTCGCGATGGATGCGAGTGCCAGCACGAATCTTACCTTCTGACGAGGCGAACGACTCGCCATGTTATATCAAACTGCGAACGAGAGTAAACAGCGCTCCGTTTTATAACCATAATCAAATGTCAGACGGATGACAGGACTGCACGCGATTACGCACGAGTACAGCCCGCCAATACGAAACAGTTATTTGCCGACAGCATTACCAACCTATTCAGCAATCACCACCTTTCAAACTATAACCATGTTCAACTTTTCATCACTAAAGTACATCCTCTGCATCCACCTTCGTCAATCACTTCTTAAAGTTCTAAAGGCCCCATAATAAAGTTGTACAACTTTCGATGAAGTACATCAATTCAATTGGTATATCAACTAATCAACCGTTAATTTAAAATTTATAATAAACAATTACTTAATTATACTTCGTTAGTATCTGTATATACTAGCAGCTTCTCCTATTGACTAACCATTAACTCAAATAAAACAATGAAATTTATTAAATTAAAAAAAATGCAATATTTAATTCAACATATATGCAACCACAATTACATATAATCGATAATATGAAAGATTCAAGAAGAAAAGCAATGAGAAAGAAATGATTATTTACAGATGTTAACAACCCTTCTTAGGCACTTTAAAAAAATATGCCAAATTTTTGTCCCTTAAGATTTTTACAACCTTTACAAGGAATTTTCGTGACACAGGCAAAAAAGGATCAACAAAATCTGTTAATCTCTTAGTTATATACACTTAGTATAGACACTTTGAGTCAATAAAACTTTTACTACTTTTTTAAATACTGATAATCATATGAAAATAAACACACTTTGTTGTTTACATTTATAAAAATATCATCTACACCCTAAAAGTATCCTATAAGTAATGTATTTAAACAGGTAATTTCAATCCGAAATATGCTAAAATGTGAATTAGAAAGTAACTTGCATTAGTACTTGTGAAGCTATAATTGTCCGCATGTTCCATGAATATAAAACAATACTTGTTTAATTACTTTACAAGTATTTCATAGAAATTAATACGCGTAGTACGTTACATTTATATTTGTTGACGCAAATTATTTCAATAGTGCTCGATAAGCATCAAGTAATTCATTACTGTTAAAATATATTGAGCAAGCTTAGTTTATCAATTAATTATTAAACATTCAATAAGAAATCAAATTTACGAGTTACCAATTGCATCAGATCTTTCACATACTTGTTAGCAGAAGAAAGCGAATTTTGGATTTAACAGTAAAATGTCAGAAAAATAATATTATTACATTGTGCGTTCATTAAGAATGTAATTATATAAATATTTTCATTTGGAAATGTATAATAATCTACATACATAGTTTATAGTCAAATTTCGTTAAAAGATTCAAATAGCAGTTGCACATAAAAACATGTAAATATTTTCACAAAAACTATATATAAGAATGTTATTTAAATTAAATGAAACTATTCTAATTAAAGCAAAAACTTGTATGTAAATTACTAAGATTGCTTTCCTCTTGGCTATACATTCTAAATAGTTAAAGATGTAACAAAATGATTAAATATATACTTTCATATTGGACAAAAGAGAGAAGAAATTGTGAAACATCTGTAATTTAATAACTAAATATTTAGAGTTGTATGAATATCAGGAATCAGTCGTTAGTTACAATGTATTCATAAATACATTAATTTTAGTATAATTAAGTAATATTTCTGTATATTTCTTGAAATTATGTGAAAATTTAAAAAATAATTATATCTAGTATAAAAATGGCATCAAACATATATATTTTTATATGTTGTGTGGACTTCATTTAAATATAATATTAGTTTCTTGCTTAATAATGTTAATATTAATTTGTAATTTTATAAATAAATGGTGCTAATTTGTGAAAAATGTAAGAAAATAATACATTTTGGTTGCATAACTTAAGTAAGTTCAATTTTTTGTTTCTTAGCGTTGGTATTTGCGTAAACTGTCGGTCACATTTTGTGTGGGTTGTTTGCCGGAGAGCAGTTCTATATCGAGTGGAAATATTTGTTTTTTAAGAAATACACCCAAAGATTCTTCAGGATGTCGATGTTAGCTTCCGCCCTATCCGTCGCGGGTACCAGAACCTCAGGGGCCCCCGTCCGCACCCAGAACGGTGAGTCAGAGCAGTCCTCGCACCTTACACCCACCCACCTAACCTGCAAGCATGACCCATCATCATGTGCTTCAGATGTTCCGGAAAATGGAAAATTCTAGAAGAAATCCAAGATTTTTCCTACAATTTCCTATTGCAAATCCTTCAAAACGTTGAAAATAACGTGATGCATTAATAATGATTCCTTTTCAGTCATGGCTGCCTGCTCCATTGCAAACATTGTAAAGACCTCATTGGGACCAGTTGGACTTGACAAAATGTTAGTTGATGACATCGGTGATGTGACTATCACCAATGATGGAGCCACTATTTTGAGGCTGTTGGAAGTTGAACATCCTGCTGCTAGGGTCTTGGTGGAGTTGGCTCAGTTGCAAGATGAGGAAGTTGGTGATGGCACAACCTCAGTAGTCATTATTGCTGCTGAATTGTTGAAAGTAAGACTCAAAATCCTATAAATTTGAAATATGAATTAACATTAAATGCATTCATATTCTTGAGTTAGTCTGTATCTTTGTTTCATTCATAACAAACATAATTTAATATATTTTGTAATTTGATTTTAATATTACGTTTATTTTCTTAAATTTAGAATGCTGATGAATTAGTCAAACAAAAGATTCATCCCACATCCATTATCAGTGGATACAGGTTGGCGTGTAAGGAAGCTTGCAGGTATATCCAGGACAATTTGACCATCCCCGTTGATGTTTTGGACAAAGAGAGCATCATCAACGTCGCTAAGACTTCCATGAGCTCGAAGATCATCGGCGCCGATGCCGAGCTCTTCTCCCAGATCGTAGTTGATGCCGCCTACGCGGTGAAGATCACAGATGTTAGAGGCAACGCCCTTTATCCGATCAAGGCCGTGAATGTGCTGAAGGCGCACGGAAAGAGCGCCAGGGAGAGTGTGTTGGTCCAAGGTTACGCATTGAACTGCACGGTCGCTAGCCAGGCCATGCCCAAGAAGATCACCAACGCCAAGATCGCCTGCCTTGACTTCTCCCTTCAAAAGGTTAAGATGAAGATGGGTGTGCAGGTTCTGATTGAAGATCCCGACAAACTTGAGGGCATCAGAAGTCGCGAATTGGACATCACCAAGGAGCGCATCAATAAGATCTTGAGCACCGGAGTGAACGTTATTCTGTGCACCGGTGGAATCGACGATTTGTGCTTGAAGTACTTCGTCGAAGCCGGCGCGATGGGCGTTAGGAGGGTGACCAAGAATGACTTGAAGAGGATCGCCAAGGCCACCGGAGCGGCTTACGTGACTTCTTTGACAAATATGGATGGTGAGGAGAGCTTTGACGCTTCGATGGTCGGTGAAGCCGCCGAGGTTGTCCAAGAGAGGATCTCAGACGATGAGCTTATTTTGATCAAGGGACCAAAGGCTCGCACTGCCGCTTCTATGATCCTGCGCGGCCCCAACGACTTCTACTGTGATGAAATGGAACGTTCCGTGCACGACGCCCTCTGCGTCGTCAAACGTGTGCTCGAATCTAAGAGTCTCGTCGCTGGCGGCGGCTCCGTCGAAGCAGCTCTTTCCATCTATTTGGAGAACTTCGCAACCACCCTCAGTTCCAGGGAGCAACTGGCCATCGCAGAGTTCGCAAAGAGTTTGTTGGTCATTCCAAAGACCTTGGCCGTTAACGCCGCCCAAGACGCCACCGATTTGGTGGCTAAGCTGAGGGCTTACCAGAACTCCAGCCAGACCAAAGTCGATCATGCCCATTTGAAGCACGTCGGTCTTGATCTGATCGAGGGTGTCGTTAGGGACAACAAGAAGGCCGGCGTTTTGGAGCCAACCATGTCCAAGATCAAGTCCCTCAAGTTCGCCACTGAAGCTGCGATTACCATTTTGAGGATTGATGATATGATTAAGTTGGACCCAGAGCAGAAGGAAGGCGGCAGGGGATACAAGGAGGCAATGGATGCCGGTGACTTGTAAGCTTTGTAATACACGAAATAGCACCAACTCATTCTTTATTTATCATCGCATTTAATCTTATATTTGCATCATTTTTCTTTTTAATATAATTAAAAAATATAATAAAAATCTTAATCCACTACACACTTTGTTTTATTCATCTATACTTTTAGTACAATTTGAAAAATGAATATTTTTTTAGATGTCTTTCAGTCCGTTATGTATATTGTATTGAACCTTTCACATTCTTAATTTTGACCAATTGGTAAATGATAAGAAATTTTAAATTAAAGTAGATAAAACCATTTTTAATAAAATATAAACAAGATTTTTAACATTGTATTGCATATAAATCTGTATCAATTGAATTATTTATATTCATTATTCATCAAGAAATTTGGTAACCAATTCATTAAATTCCTTGGCATACCTCAAATGGATGTTATGTTTTCCTTCAGGGAACCTATACAATCTGTACAAACACAGGATTAGATAACAACTGTTGTAAATTAATAAAATAAGGTTTACTTACTTTGAACCTTTGATATTTTCTAATAAGTATGTAGGATGTTCATCAGCAACCATAGGATCTTTATCACCATGAAGAATGTAAGTAGGACACTTAATTTTGGGGAGCATTTTCTTGCAAATATCAGCATCCCTTTTACCAATTGCAATCAGAGCATCACACCAGTCACTCCACATCTGCTTCAAACCATCCTCCCCATACATAGCAACCAGTGGAGCCTTCATACGATCAGACCATTTTGAGATATCCTTCAGCTCTAAAAACATATAAACGAATTATATATAAATACAATCAAAAAGATTACTGCATACTTTCATAAGATTTCAATTCCTCTGGTAAAACGTAAGCGTTGGCGCCCCAAATCGCTAACTTCCTAACTACAGCTGGATATTTCGCAGCGAGAATAATACCGGTTATTCCGCCATCGCTCCAACCGAGAATGGAAAATTCCGGAATCTCTAAACTTTTCATAAGGTTCAGCGCGAAATCTGCATCGTCTTCGTAAAATTCGGTGGAGAACTTCTTGTTTGGCGGTCTAGAAGCTCCATAACCCGGTGGATCCCATGCTATAATTGTATACTTCTCCTTATCCAAACTCTCAATTTGTGGCTTAAAATCGCTCCAGATTGTACCCAGTGCGCCTGGCATACATAGCAGTGGATGCTTTCCATTTCCCGTTTTTAAATAATTGATGGTCTGTCCCTTTATTACAACTTTAGACTCCTATTTCAAAATATCTTATTATAGAATTAATAATTATTTTTTTAACTTCTTACCATATTTGTGGAATATTTCTGAATGAATTTGGGAACTATTATTAAGTGTTCTTTACCTGCAGTGAATGCAGTCCTTGTGAGCCTCGTCACGAACATCGTTTCACAATTAAACAACTAATTGATAATTGTTGTTTAAAATTGTGGATAAATAGATAATAGTGAAAGGTCAAAGCTGTAGGTTAAGAATGTTATCAAATGTATTTTTAGACCACCTGAGGAACAACTTTGCTTGCATTTTGCATAATTTATAGAAAATGATTTAAAAAAAAATATTAATCAAAATGTGAGTGTAAAAATTGCACAATTCTCAATTATAAAAGCTGGTAGCAATATAACAGTTAATTATAAAATAAATTCAAGTAAGTGATCATTTTATAAAGCTTTCTTATAACAAAATAACCAAATACGTAAATTTGTATAAAAATTGTACATTTAATAGTGTAATAGAATCATAAAAAAATGACATTTTATTCATTAATTTTATAGAAATTACAGTAATTCATACATCAAGGTTTTAGTTAAATTTTAGATTGTAGTTGTTATTAATTAAATAGTAAATAATTATATTATATACCATAAATCACTTTCATTCAATTCAGGTACAAATTGTATGTAATTATTAATAAAAAATACATGAAAGCAAACATGTCTTCCAACAACACTTGTGAGTAAATCAAATTTGTTGCTCTTGAAACATCTTCATTAATTGTTGAACATTTGTTTCCACATCTTATGAAGAAGACTTATTTACTTCTTCATAAAATAACAATTTCAAATACTTCAAACTGTTGTCTTTACATCAAGTAGTTTGAAAATATAGATGATAGAGCAAATAGAGATGTTTATAGCAAAACAATTTCAAACTTCGATAAATCAAATAAATATACATTGGTATAGTAAATTATGGGTAAGGAAAATAAGTATAAGGAATTATTAGTTCTTTTTTTTTATTTAAATTCTCAAATAATAATATAACATTTACAATACAAAGTAATTTTCTTGATTTTGTTGCAAATATATTTAATATAGAATATAAATATAGTAACATTATTATCTGAAGATATCCTTTTTTCTCGTTAATCTACCTTATGAGTAAATCCTAAAACCTATATGTATATCATCAAATTTACAGACTCGTCGCGATGGTGGTGCGACCATAAAAAATAATCAAAGGAAAGAAACAAAACAAAATAAAGATACAAATACAAAAAAAATGTGTATATGTGAAACAGCTACAGCTTTTGAAGGCCTCTATAACCAGGTAATAAAAGTAAACGAGAAACGGTTACAATAAACATTGTACAAAGTAAAATAGTTTAAAAGAAATTGTAAGTGAAGGAAATGAACATTCGATATATATATATTTGTATATGCTATGTTTGTGTATGTATGTATATATAAAAGAAAACTAACAAAAGCAATTGGGTTTATGTAAGTATATTTAAAGTAAAATTGAAATTAATTGCTTCTCAATTAGTTTTGTGTATATATATATAATGTGTATATTTATTTATTTATGTATAATTTAAAAGCTGTATCACGTAACAGCGCGGATTTCGGCTATCGATTGGTGTTTATTATCATTATTATATTTTTTTTTGGCAATAACCATAAAGAAGAAACCCGACTACGAATAATAAAGAGGAAAAAACACGTCGTAATCATTAAAAAACAAATAAACTTTTAGTAAATAACATTTTCTTCGTCCGTCTCGATCTTCGGCGATTCCATTCGGTGGCCGCGAAAGCGTCCCGTGAACACAAGAAAGGCGCTTTCGTGGACTTCCGACGGTGATCGTAAAAGTTCGCGACGGTCCAAAACATAGATCAATTATCGACAATAATAATAAATATTTACCGCAACTATGTTGCGTAAGGTTCTCTCTTTTTGTCCTTTGGTGAAAATTACTAATATATATATTTATATATAAGAACAAAATGTTTTTACGCAAGCTTAAAAAAAATCATTTTTATAAACCCTCGCCTTTTATATATAATTATATATATTGAATTTTTTATTTATTATACAAATAGCGCCAAAGAGAATTTCTTTCTTTTGCTTAAAATTACATTTTTTAAATTTTTTTTATG